ACGCATGCGAAAATGTATAGTTTACGTTACGTATACTGTAGATTTTCACATGCGTATTTCATTCGTACATCATCAAGAATCGAGCCCCTAGGTATTTGGTTCTTCCCTTTGATACGTACGTGACGAGTTTTTTTTTTCTTTTGTAAGGACTGCTTGTTATGATCTCACTGTTTTTTGTGTAGATTATTTAGATACAAATCTTTTACATTATTTTTACAGCAAAGAAAATGTATGCATCTTTGGAATTTCGTGACTAACTGCATTTTTTATTGTGGAATCATTAATTGAAATTCATTTTGTCTGTTTATTATGCACAACGTTTATATAATGTCCATTAGTTATACCATTGTGGAAAATTAAACTAATAATTTTATATATATCTGTGCCTATATATATCTTTGACATAGATAGACACCTTTAATTTTTAAATTTGTGATTTTAAATGTTTCAACGTTTTATTATTAGCATTAATTTAAAATGAAAACATTTTTTATTATTATTATCTCTTTTTTCAATTCTACTAAGTTTTCTTTATAAGGAGTACATACTTTTTCTTTGTTTTTTCAACTTTTAAAATTATATTCTATTAATTCTTGTAAAGTATATGATTTTTTCAATTTTTCTGACAATTGAAGTAATAGAATATGATTTGACTGGATTTCTATTTTTGTAACACATTTTACTATAAAATTTCCTCCATGTAGTGATGTATATTTTCCTACTATGTATATTTTTCTACTGTACTAATGTGAACTTGCAGGCTGTGTTCCAATATTTACTACCGATACTGAAACTCTATACGTGTACGTGACACAAATAATAGATCTTGAGTACTGATAGTGAATATCGGAACACAGTCGTAATTATCATTAAACTTTATTAAGTTTATTAATGAAATTGTTTTATTTTATTTACGCGTTTACACTAGACGAAAAGATACATGATTGATTTAATATTTATTGCGCACGTAATATACGTCCATTTTGATTGGTGCAGTCTATATGGAAACCTTTATAATATTTCACCTACGAACATTTTTTCTTTCTCTATTTAAATTAATTAACCAATTAATTTCAAATTCAGATTACACGTTTGCAATGCGAATCGCGGATATCGCAAGTGCAGATTGATATAAAACTATAAGAAAATCTAAGTGAAATTATAAATATAACTTGCTATGTAATCTAATGGTTGATTATGAATCTTTTCCTCTAGTCTAGCGTATATTCGTATATTCGAATCAATGACAATCATTATAGATACATGCTGTTTATTGCAGCTTTTATATATATTACAAAAGCAATCTGACGGACAAGCGCGCATCGCTTGTGTGCGTGCATATACGTGTGATCTGAAGCTGAATCGTTTGGCGATGCAAATGCAGTTTGTGTGCGTGCATACGTCTGTGCATGTGTCTGAAAAAATCTGAGAATCTGTGCGAAAATAAAAAGGACTTTTCGCAGCCAAGATTTCGAGATTTCCGTATTCCCTGCACCAATCTTAATCAAACTTGGTGCAAATTACGCGCGCGCTAATTATTATATCAGAAAACTTTCATCAGATTTTCGATTATAGTTTCCATGTTTGAGATATTTGATTCGGAAGACCAATCGACCCAGAAATTTCAGATAAGCTTACACGGTCGCGTTATTTTGTTTTATTCGTACTCGGCGTCGCGCTGCGATCGCGGCGCTTGATATGTTCCACCTTGCGTAGAGATCTTTGTTATCTTTTTAGTATCTATTTTAATATATAATAGACTTATCTTTTTAGTAAAGCGGAGATTGAATAGAACATTTTACTTTGAGTAGAGGTCTTTGTTAATGTTTACAGTATATATTTTAGTTAAGGTGACCAGGTGTCCTGATTTTTTCAGGACAGTTCCGATTTTTTATCTTTTGTCTTGAATTTTTCGAGTGCTATTCAGGATATCGATTTGCTATAATTTTCAATGATTGTCAAATAATTTTCGGATCTTTTAATCCCTTTCCACCCGTCCCCCACTTCACACATTTATGAAGTGTCCCGAATTTAAGACTGGGAAATCTGGTCACCTTAATTTTAGTGTATGGTAGACTCATTTTTTTATTAAGGTGAGTATTTAATAACCATAAGATCCTGGTCTCTGCTGAAACTCGCGTCCATGTATACATATTCACATATATACTCATACACACTTACATACACTCACATATTCACACACGGAATGCGAGATAGGCCATATTTTCACGTGATATATTTTGAGTAACGCGAAAATAATTTGCAAATGATAAAAAAGCGTCGTTATCAATTTCAGCAAATTACAATTAAAAACCTTTATATCTCCTAAACACAGTTATATCCTTATAGAAATATACTAAGAATCATTGATAATTACTTATTTTCAGTATTAAAAATACTGGATAATAAGTAATTATCAATGATTCTTAGTATGATATTTCTATAAGGGTATCGTCACTTTCACTACTCTTGAACTTTTGTTTCAAATGGCCTGTGGATGACGATCTGCAGTCAAAATTTAGCACTCTGGAAATTGTAATCTTGCCGTTGTAACACGTAGTAACGAAGTAACACGTTACTCTCAATCTTTTTTTTATTTTATTTTATATGTAAAAAACATAAAATTAAGTAACATTGAAAAGATCTGCCAAAAGCCATTTTTTATTTAGAAAATCTAATTTGTTTATTATCTGTATATTGTCTATATACTCTGATTTATTTATTATCGGATATTTTACATTGTAATCTTGCCGTTGTAACACGTAGTAACGAAGTAACACGTTACTCTCAATCTTTTTTTTTATTTTATTTTATATGTAAAAAACATAAAATTAAGTAACATTGAAAAGATTTGCCAAAAGTCATTTTTTATTTAGAAAATCTAATTTGTTTATTATCTGTATATTGTCTATATACTCTGATTTATGTATTATCGGATATTTTACATTATGACGCGTATAGCTGCAGTTAAATTTTTTCGGTATTAAACTATGCGAATCATGATAATTATATCACATTATGTAACTTAAATATGCGAGGCGTGATAAGGGATTCCCTTAATGGGATTTATAATATTAATCCTAAAATGATAGTGAAGAACATTACGTAAAATATAATAACGCTCCATTTCGCAGGTACTATGGCATTGTTGGCATTGAGTTTTTTAACGCCATATTTTTATTATATTCCACGTGCTACATTAGCGGCGGTGCTGATAACCGCCGTGATATTCATGATCGACCTGAAGCTCATAAAACTGCTCTGGAGAGAATGCAGTTAGTATTACTGCTGACTTTGCGTTACACTGAGAGCGATCTGAAGTAAAACACCACGATCTAATATCTCTATTTTTTTGCAGAAACAGATGCTATCGCGGTGACAGGCACTCTTTTAATCTGTGTATTTGTCAGTGTCGAGATCGGACTGCTTCTGGGTATTGTTTTTAATCTAGCCTTCCTTATCCGACCATCCGCAAGACCGACGATGCAAATAACCAATCGTAAGGTAAAAAGTCAGAAAACTTACCCTTCTCACAATTAGAAGTGATTTTTCTTTTTGGTAATCAAGCGACACGGTAGTGTCGCGAAGCCAAGTGCAAGCGCGAGACGGCCGTGTATACTAACGCCACGAGACTAGTTGAATACACACCAGATTTCTTGTTTGACCATAACGGTTGAACCGATGAGATTCTAGATAGGCTCAATCGATTCCTTGGGTTTATGTTAGTTAATAAAACTGTCTTTACTTTTGCTCTACGTTTTCTAGAACCTGAGATATTTTAGCTCAAAGTCCGAAATCGCTAAGTTTTACGATTGAGGAATTCGTCGTCTGAGAAAATGTCCAGGTTGACGTATTTGTCGCCAGAGGCGCTACGGCTCAGATTAGGTATTCGGAAACTCGGTATGAGTTATGGTCTGTTCTTTGTAGCTGCGCTGCTGAATTGGTGCAATAAGTTAGAGCGAGACAAAATATACTTTTACTCGGGTGGGACCCGATTGACCACGATACGATTGGACACAGATTGTAATGATTGGTTCGACCTAGTAATTCACTAGATAATTCTTTTCATCGGTTGGTTGTGTCCAATCGTATTGTGGTCAATCGGAACGCTCCCCTTTTACTCTAGTTCTCACTCTAACTTATTGAACTAGTTCATTGTTGATAACTATACTGAATGAATTATTTGACTGTGAATATTTTATTAGAAGTTATGTGCTATATATATCATATATATATATATATAAATATATA